GGGGGGGGTCTTTTACAAACTAAATGCTGCAGTTGAAAATGTAAAAAAAGGGAAAAAATTGCAAAAATGGTTTTTGGTTAGCTGAGGTCTAGTGTTTAAGAAGGGCTTGGCTGCGGAAGGGTTAAGGAAATTGCATTTTAGACACTTCCTTTTATACCTATCCACTATTTTGACTCTTTCAGATTTGAGTATCTTTTTAATTTTGACAACACTTTTGAAATACACGATGATATAGAAGTACTAAAACGAATGGGTATGGCTTGTGGACTGGAATCTGGTAATTGTTCAGCAGAAGATCTAAAGTTGGCGCGGAGCTTAGTGCCTAAAGCTTTGGAACCGTATGTGACAGGTTCGATATTTTTTATTTGTTTTCTCTTTAGCTTTGTAAGTAAAGTATTTGTACTTTTTCTTTTTTAGTGTTGTATGTTTTGCTGTACAATATCTGTATTTTAAACTAATTTCGCAAAATCTGCAATAGTCATTGGATAGATGCCTGCTATTTGAGGCATTAAGCGAGTGCTTAAAAATTTGCAAGGACCGAACATTGAGTATTTAAATATAGTCATGTGCATAAATATTGGCACCCCGCATTTCTGTCAGATAATTCACCACTTTGTGCAGAAAATTGTTGCAATTACAAATGTTTAGCCATTCTCATGTTTATTTCTTTTGTTTGTATTGGTATGACACAGTGGAGAACAACAAAAAAAACAAATCTGACACAATGTACGGAAAACTCCAGAAATGGACTGGACAAAATGATTGGCACCTTCTCCAAATTGCAAGAAATAATTGAATTCCAAGTTTTTGTGGAAAAGCATGAACAATCTCAAGGTTATAAGTCCATCTTTAGAGATATTAATGTTCCGGTGTCCACTGTGCGCAACATTGTCGAGGTTTACAGCCCATGACACTGTAACTCATCTACCTGGACGAAAGAACAATCGATCAAAGATTGCAACAAGGGATTGTTCAAAGACCCTCGATCAATTCCAGACAAATTCAAGCTGACCTTCAGGCACAGGCTACAACTGTCAGCTCGCGCTATACATCGCCATCTGAATGAAAAGGGACGCTATGGTAGAAGACCCATGAGGACCCCACGGCTGACACATAAACATAAAGCAAAAACTTATCTGAGGAAGCCAAAATCCTTTTGGGAGAATGTGCTGTGGACAGATGAAACAAAATGACAGCTTTTTGGTAAAGCCCATCATTCTACTGTTTTCAGAAAAAGAAATGAGGCCTTTAAAGAAGAAAATAGTCAAACATGGTGGAGGTACATTGATGTTTTGGCGTTGCTTTGCTGCTTCAAGCACCAGATGTCTTGACTGTGTGCATTGCATTATGAAATCTGAAGACTACCAAATAATTCTGGGGTGCAATGTAGGGCCCAATGTCAGAAGGTTGGGTCCCATCAGAGTTTATGGGTCTTACAGCAGGACAATGACTCAAAGCACTCATCAAAAAGCACTCAGAAATGGTTTCAGACAGAGTGCTGGAGAGTACTGGACTGGCCAGCAATGAGCCCAGATCTGAATCCCATAGAGCACCTGTGGAGAGATCTCAAAACAGCAGTTGGGCAAAGAAACCCTTCCAATCTGAGCGACCTGGAGCATTTGGCGAAAGAGTGCGCCAAAATTTCTGTACAGAGGTGTAAGAAACTCATTGATGGTTACAGGAAGCGACTGATTCAATTATTTTTTCCAAGGGCTGTGCTACCAAATATTAATAGAGGGTGCCAATAACTTAGTCCAGTCCATTTTTGGAGTTTTGCGTGGAATGTCAGATTTGGCTATTTCTGCACGAAGTGGTGCATTTTCTGACAAATTCAGGGGTGCCAATGTTTTTGGCCATGACTGTAGGTGAATGCCAGTGGATTTATTGCTTGCTTAGCTCTTGTTTTAAAATCTTTTCCATTGAAGGCCTTGGCTCTGTCCAGAACTATATTTGCAGGGTATGCTACACTAGGCAACCTTAGAACAATGTTGATTTTGTTGCCAGTTTTAAGTTTGTTTGTTTGAACAGTGAACAATCTTATGGATATTTATTGATCATGAATGAGTGACAGTTAATTGAAGGCAGTGCTATATTTTATGCTGTTTTTTTTTCTTTTTTATTTCTAGCTAATGCAAAATGTATGTACAAAAATAAAATTTTTATAGACTTAGCAGTGTAATATTGAAGTATAATTCTCACAGCCCTGTTTTTAGATTTAGGTTTTTTTTTAAAAAGGTTTATAGACATATACTTTTTTTTTGTTGCTATAATAATAATACCAACCCCTATGCCCCAACCCTAAGGGCTCAGTCACACTAGATGCAGTGCGTTCCGGCCCGATTTTGGCCGGAACGCACTGCCTCGCATTGCGGCTGGCTCACTTCTTAGTTGGGTAGGAGGGGGCGTGGCAGGCCATTCAAGTGAATGGCGCTGTAGCCATGCCCTCCGGCCGCAATGCGATCCGTCGCACGGGATCGCAAGACACATTGTGCCTGCGGTCCGGCCCTGTGTGATGCGATCAAAATAGTGCCTGTAGCATTTTGATCGCACCGCACAGGTTCGGACCGCAGGCGCAATGTGCCTTGCGATCCCGTGCAGCAGATCGCATTGCGGCCGAAGTGCGCGGCTACAGCGCCATTCCCTTGAATGGCTCGCCACGCCCCCTCCTACCCCACTAAAAAGTGCGCCGGCCACAATGCGAGGCAGTGCGTTCCGGCCAAAACCGGGCCGGAACGCACTGCATCTAGTGTGACTGAGCCCTTAAGGTAGTCCTGATCTTGCATCATTGCTGTTCCCGGTCTCAGACCAAGATTGCTTCTTGACATATTGTTTCCGTACAGATAAGGGGGAAAGCAGTTAATGCATTTCAAGGTGCACATCAAGGTAAATGTTTTTACTTATTGTACTGTGAATAATGGGATTTTCTTAATTATTCATTAACTGCTTTAAGACCAGGTGTTTAGATCCCCTACCCGGCCAGGCCATTTTTCAGTGTTCAGCGCTGCAGTACTGACATTTATTCATGGACTTTAAAAAAAAAATTTTTTTCTTTTTTGTGTAAACTTAAAAAAATTGGAGGGGGAAACTTTAAGTTTTTGTACAATTTTTTTTTTCACTTAGCAAAGTTATCACAGAGGGGGCTGAGAAACCCCCTTATGTGATAGCAAAAGAGGTGACAGGTCCTCTTTATGGAGACATCAGGGGTCTCCAAGATGCTGCTGCTTGCAGGAGACTGGACACTCTCAAACAAAGCTTGAGTCTGCTAAATATAACTCCTCCTGCTCCCATCATGCTCCAGTTTCTTTGCTAGTGTCCTGGGAGATTAGACATCTCTTCTTGGAGAAAAACAAACCCATTCCTTTACACGTTCTGCTTTTTTGTCAAGATTCCTTTCTTCTCTTCATTGAAGGACACAACGCAGATCTGTAGATCTTAAATCAGTAGGTTAATAGCACCACCTTCAGGAATAGTACACTAGGCACAAAGGAATAGCCTAGGGGTAAACCCTGCTGGTGGCTAAACCCCCCCCCCCCCCTTTTTTTTTTTTGCCTAGTGTCAAGGAGTAAGGACCTAAGCTCCCTGCTGCCACTCATGCTTCTCTTCCCTTTTTTGAAGTTTTTTTTTTTAACTTTTTGAACAAGTAAAACAAATGCTACTCCTGAAGGTGGCACACTATAACCTTACTGGTCAAGATTTAGACCTACATGCTGCTCTGGCTCAGTTCCTCTTAAGGGGCCATAGCCTTTGTTCCGGAGAAGAAAAGGTTTTAGGGGTTCTAGTCAAACCTGTTGACAGTTCCCAAAGTGAAAGGGGACATTAGTCCCATACTGGATTTCAAGTTTCTTTGCTTGAAATATTTTAGGTCATTCATTGCTTTCCACCATCTAGGAGACTTTTTGACCTCTGTGGACATCAAGGCTTGTGTGTTCCCAATTTTCTGACACTGCCTGCTTTTTCTGGTGGCCATCCGACATTATCAGTTTGCCTTTCTTTTGGTTTATCCACTGCAACTGGAGTTTTCACTAAGGTGCTAGCCACTGTACTTGCTCTACTTTGCACACAGGATATCCCCATAGTGGGATACCTGGATAAACTTCTACTGAGGGAACAGTGGGCAGAGACATTCTACAGGCGAGGGATGAACCTTGGTATCGGTTAGATGCCTTTTTTTTTTTTGAGGCATTTTGTCCAGTCAGACATGGTTTGGCAAGGTAAGGGCATGACTCTCCATCGAGACCAGAGCTCTAGACAGGCCTTCCAGCAGGTTAGCAGTTGGGTCCTCAAAAGAAAGTTGCTTCTGCTACCTGAATAGTAAGCACCTTGCTATGCTGGAACACTTCCAGATCCACTGTGGGAATGGACAAATTCTACACAAAATCCTCACCAAGCAGGTACATGGCCAATAAGCAATTAGCGTGAGCAAACAGCTTCTCAGGATGCTTCCAATCACATAGAAAAATTGTTGGAAAACAGTGGCAAAGGGGAGAGTCTTCACAGCCTTAAGAGTTTGCGTGTACCCATGACTGGAAATAGCAGTGGTGGAAGCAACAGGGTAATGTCTATTTGTGATGTGTACTGCATCACTTAGAGCTGAAATGTTCTCTATTAACCTCCCTGGCGGTATGATTATGCAGGATTTTAGCATGCCAAAGCGGTACATTGTTTTTCAGCGCAATTTGTTGTTTTATATTGTGTGTGTGTATTCTTAGTAAATCTTCGAAATAACTCACCTAAATCTGTCCAAACAAGAGTCCAGTATCCCGGGTATGATTAAAGTTTGAAACACGAAATCATACATTATAATAAAAATAATGGTCCAGTAAATGAGAATTCTGCGGGCACTGCCTGATCTGTACCACAGTCAATAGAGTACCAAGTTCGCACATCACTGAGCTCGGTCGCAGAATCGTCGCTGTCACTTTCAGTGTCTGCTGACTAACTTCCCAACGAATCGCTATCACTCAATTCTGCAAGTGATTTTAATGTACTATCGCTGTTTTTTACCTGGTCTAAAACCGCTTTTGACCTAAAGGGACGCTTTTTGGTTGCCATGGACGTTCTCAAGTTTCCAGGCATAAAGAACAGTAAAAGTGCAGGCAGGGCACTGGACAAAGCTCTAGGCACAAAATTGAAGTGAAATGGTTTGATAAATGTAATCATAGATTACATTGTATTGTGTGTCCGCCCCCTGCTGTGAGGCCGAAAACAAAACTAAAAGTCAGATGCCGGCATCTGACTTTTAGTCACCAGATAGAGCCAAAGAGGACTCTGAGGATGAGACAGACTCAAAGGCCCTGTTCACACCAGGGTGGTTCGGTCGCACGGATTTGTCTGCGCTGGACCGCCGACATCAACGATCCCATACATTCCTATGGGGACCGTTCATGTGATCTCACGGCTCCATGCGATCTGAGCCGCCTGAAATGCTCCCTGAGCCTTTTTTTGTGCGCTGATCAGCACGGATTCCATACAGATTTGAATGGAAACCTGCTGATCAGTGCGTTTTTGGGTGTTTTTTAATTGTGTTTCAGCACTGAAACGGAATTAAAAACATCCAAAACCGTCTTTTTAATATTTGTGCGGAAATCACGCTGAAACGCATCCGCCCTGGTGTGAATGGGGCCTTGGAGCAAATATGATTCCAGACTGCAGATGTTGGCACACTATAAAACAGCCTTGAGACTGTTAATGTAAACTGGGGTCACCTGCTACAGCGGCATTGTCTCTGGTGTTTGACCTACCTACGTTTTCAGAGACAGGGCAATGCCAGCAGCTCTGGACCAGGATAGAGCTTTGCAGCTAACTTTACCACAGCTGATTGAAAGCGCCCCACATGGAAATCTGTGACCGAATGTTGCTTCCAGGCAATGTTCAGTTGTGCTGCTATCTTAGTCAGGCTGAGGACAACTGCATCGGAGCTGAATTTGGATACAAAGCTCTAGCAGCAATGTAGAGAAGATACTTGATTGAAGGAAAAAAAGGGTGCTAGGAAAAATTGTTAGTCTTTAACACAGCAGAGCTGAAGAAAATATATCCATCTTACTAGGACACTAGCAAAAAACTGAGTTGTGATAGTAGTTGGAGGGTTATCCAGGACTAGCCTACAGTTTATTTGTTTGCCAGTGTTCAAGCCTTCTGTAGGCAGCAGTATAACCCAAAAGATTAAGAATTGCTGTCCTCCCTCAATGGGTGACAGAGAAATGACATAAAATAAGTTTTCATTGGCTAATGCATCTATTATTTTTACAATTCTTTGTGCCTCATATATTGCAAATGTTTCATGCATGTTCTTTTCCTCAACAGAAATGGCTCAGGGATCAATCAGCAGCGTATATGTCTCCACAACATCGGGTTCAGTGTCAAATGGACGAAGATTCTCAGCCAGGTAATTTCCTGCCTGCTTGATCTTGATTTTTTTTTTTTCTTTTAGAGCACTTTACTTTTTTTCAGTATTTATAATAGTAATGTACGGCATATAGCTTTATTCTTTACCTCACCACCATGTGAGACTACAGTGTTTTTTTACTTTTTGTGCAGTACATTGAGTACAGTCCAGTACAACATCAGCTTACCACACAGTTTAACTCTGATAACCTGCTCACGATGTATGTCAGTCTTGGGGCCAATTCACACTACAACGCAGTGCCCTGAAACAAGTTTTTGTGCAATGTGGTTCTCAACTGGTGGGTCGTGACCCCATTTTCAGTGAGTCGCTGCACGCCTTCCACTTTTCTAGGTGAGAGGATCCTCTGCCTCCCCCTAGAGCAGCACTGTCAGTTCTTGTGCCAAGCAGCCATTGAAAATGTGCTGCCCGGCGCCCAGTGTCAGCTTGAAGTGGGGTGGGCTGGGGGTATGGCTATGAGAGAGCTCCATCCATAGGTGAATTGCTTACAGCTCCCTCACATGTCCTGTAGAGATACCTCTACCGGAATTATATTGCACCTTTTATAGGTTGCGCAAGGGAGCTGTATAAGCAAAGCACATATGGATGGAGCTCCAGCACAGCAGCCCACACTGGAACCCAGGCTGAGTATCTACTCCAGTTTTCGTAAGGTAGGGAGACCATAAAAAAAGTAACATTTTGGGGACTGTGTATGAATGTGTGTATGTGTTAGTGTTTTTGAAGGCACGTTCACACTACCACAGCGTGTTAATCGCGTAGCTTTAACGCACGGTACCACGCAGTGGTACCTACTGTGCAAACACACTTCCCCACCCCCAGTTTGTACGCCCGCACAGGAACGCGGGGTACCCTAATGCCGTGCGTTCCATAGCAGTGTGACTGGCCCCGGCTTAATGACCAGACCAAGGACAAATGTGGGTCCTGAGGCTACACAGGTTGAGAACTACTGCACTAGAAGATTTTGCCCCATGGAGTAGCAGGAATCTGCATGTGCCACCTGTCAAATATGAGCCCTTCTGAGGTTTTGCTCTCCTTCCACACACTGCTTTTAGTAAAGGGCACAAATCCCCAGTAGGGGATCGTATTTCATGATGGCCCAATCATGTCTGCACCTCTTCACATTGTTCTCGAATCCATTCTCTCTATGCAATGCTGTGTATATTTAGTACTACACTCCTTGCAATCCTCCTAGGCTTAAAATGTTACCTTAAGTAGCGTTCCTCTGCATCATGCCTTGTTGCTGCTTTATGTTCCAGTGTTTCCAACGTTCTGCTAACTCCCACTACTCCCCCCAATCCCTGCATTCTGCACAGTGATGTTCTACCTGCATTATCTCCAAATGCTGCCAACTGGCTGCCCTGGTGCAGACAAACACACCAAGCTAAAAACAGTGGGGGGAATTTATCATAGCAATTGCGAGTGTTTGAACTTGCACGGAATATATTTGCACCAGATTTATGATGCTAGTGTAATGTTGCTGATAAATGAGGTTTAATAGACTCCAGGAAAGAAGACTCGTAACTCCAGGCAAAAAACTTCTTGAATAAGTGATCATGGGGACGTCTTAAGTTGCGATTTGTTTTGTTAGTTGATGCTCCAGTTTCAGATAGCCCCAGAACAAGTGCAGATGAAAACATGTGCAAAAAAACATGCAACTGAAAAAGTTGTGCAAGCTCTGAAGAAAACAGGTGCAGCCTTAGCCACTTCTGAACCATCAACCACAGAGACTTTTGAGTCTAAAGGTGGACATACACTAGTGGATTTTCGGTCAGAGATTTTCATTTCTGCCATAAACCTTCATTTAATTATAGCTCTAATACCCCATCAAGCATAGTCAAATGTCGATTTTTTTCTTTTTCTTTTTTCAAATTCGTTGTTAGCCATACTAACCAACCATTTTTTGACAAATGGCAGTAACAAAATTTCCTTTTGCGCATGTGCTATGTTCATGCAGAGATTTTTGACGAACAAAAACCCCACTGATTCGATTTAAAAAAAGATATTTTTGTTCGGTCAGAGAAAAGTTTTTCCAACCTAAAGCTTGCCATACACCTTACAATTATCTGCAGATTTTCTGTGGTCAGATGGAAAAGGTGCAACAGATTCCTCCATCTATACTTAACTGTGTGGATGGAGTAATCTCCACCTGGGCCAATCAGGTGCACCTTTTCCACCTGACCACAGAGAATCTGCAGATAATTGTAAGGTGTATGGGCACCTTAACCGATCGAAACATTTCCATCACAATATCAAAAACGAAAATCTGGGATGTACCATCAACTATTCGATTTTCGCTCGAACGACTGTGTACAATTTTTCCAAATGAAAATCGTGCAATGTATGGCCACCTTTTGTTAAGTCCTTGTCAAATAGGCTTAGGCCTGAGTTGCGGTCTACTGCTATTACTCCCAAGTAAAGAAAACGTTTTGCACCTTATTGATGCGCACCCACCACCCTGAAAATAGGGGATCCGCCTGTTTCTTCAACTGGTGCTGTTTCCAGTCCTGGTTTGTATATGGTACCTAAGGCAGCAAAGTCTTTCTCTTTTGCACCTGTTTTTGCACCTGTTTTTATATGAAGACTGGAAGTGCCCTGTGGTTTTCTCCCCCCTTAAGGCCTTGTTCACACCAAATGCAGACCAGATCTGCATTAGTTTCTGCACACGCAGTGCAGCGGGTTGTGCCGCGTTTTTGATGCGTTCAGGGCCGTTTTTGGTTAAAACATTTTTTTTGTTTAAAATGGGCTTTTAGTGCGTTCCAGGGCGTTTGCATGCGTTCCAGAGCAGGTAAAATAGGGCCTGCTGCAGTTTTTTTACCTGCTCTGGAACGGAACGCTGCGATGTGAACTGGAGCAAAAAATATTATTGGAATACATTGGATGCAGTTATGCTCCAGTCTGTAACTGCTCTGCACCTGGAACGCGCTTGGTGTGAACAAGGCCTAAATGCTTGTTGGCCTTGTATGCATTAGGTGCATATTATGTTGAGAAATGGTCTGTTCCCTTTGTGGCTTCGGCCATATCTTGCCGTGACAAAGCAACTCTTCCAGATAAATATGCATGCTGCAAATATTAGTAGTGGTATGCAGACCTTTTGTTGCTGATTTTAAGTGAGCAGGGTTATACCTTGGGCTGGTCTACACATTTTTTTAGGGTTTTTTTTTCCTCCAGTGTCCAATCCTCTAAGTATACCCAAAAGGTTTGTCTTCCTGTGTCCTCCAGTGTAGGGGCTAAATGATTTTATTTAAGTACGTAAAAGGATTTTATGCTGTGATCTATTCTGGTTTTACTTTTTTCCAAGTAACTAACAAGTCAAAACCTCCTAACTCCTAACCTGTTTTATACTTGCATAAAATGTTTCCTTTAAAATTGCAAGGCTCTGTGGTTGTCATACTCTGTAAGCACACATCTAGTGATGATCCAAGAAACCTGACATGTGTACACTTGTTCAAGGTTAACACAGCAAGTATTGTTGGAAAGGATAAAAATGACATTTGCACCTTCAAAAATGTTAAATGGCAGCAGCTTCTCATTTCTATCCTGCCCAGTTTCTTTCTCCATATCAAACTTTTTGTAGGGAAAAAAGGTAGTGTGATGCTAGTATGTATACTTTTAAGATCTTTTGGTAGTCTTGTTTTTATGACTCTGAAATTAGTCATACTTAAATGCATCAGGGGTGTTTTTAAAGGGTTATAAAAAAAAGTCCCAAAGAAAGGTCCCTGCAGTAGAAGAGCTCTTATATTCTCACCTCTCTGCCCACTCGTCTTCTACCATCCCTCTGTTCCCGCTCTGCAACCTCCAGCTCCTCGGAATTCAAAATGTTGGGAGTTTTGGGGTGACTTTAACAGCCTCCCGCCCGGCCGTTGTGGAATGACGGCCGGCTGGGAGCTTCCTAGATCTGAGCGGGCGTTTTTAAACGTCCCGTCAGCTACGCTTGCGAGCTCGAAAGTGCCAATATTTAAAAATCAGGCAGCGATGCCTGTTTACATACAAGTGATCCGCCGGCTATAGAGCCGTCAGATCGCTTGTATAACATGCCGGTATGTGCGTCGCCACATCCCCCCTCCTGCTGGCGCCCAGGACCAGCATGGTGGCTCTGTGGCAGGGGATCAGAGGGTGCTCTAGCTCCCTCCGGTAGTGATGTATATTACATAATTTCCACATTCTTGTGTCACTCTCCAGCTTCAGAAGCTGATGAAGGAGATCTCTGCTTCATCAGCTTCTATGTGGGGGTCCTAGGTGACATTAGGGGTCTTGGAGACCCCTGATGTCGCCATGAAGAGGACCTGTTGCATCTCTTTGCTATCACCCCCTTTTGCTATCTTAGCCCCCTATGTGATAACAATAAAGTTAAGTGTAAAAAAAACAAAGTTGCAAAAAAGTTTTTTAAAGTCACACATGAAAAACAATAAGAAAAACAAACTTTTTTTAAGGTCCCCACCCATACATGCATGCATGCAAACATGTGCCTGGTGTGCATACGTGTGAAACCGATTGCGCCCATTACCCCGCACATGTTACATATTGCCACAAATGTTGCAGTGAGAGCAATAATTTTAGGGACATTAATCACTAATAACACTAAACTGATGAGCGATAAAAGCTTTAAAAGCGTCCCCTATATCAATTTTGGGTATGGTAGTTTTTTTGCAAGTGCACACAATTTTAAGGGTTGACATGTTTGGTGTCTATGTACCCGACGTGACCCCGTCTTTTATATTTTACCAAAAAAATGGGTACTTATATTATAACATAATGTAACCTTATGTAACCGCACAAAATTCAGTAATTTTTCCTTTAATATAGTAAAAATAAAACCCCCAGTGGTGATTAAATACCACCAAAAGAAAGCTCTATCTGCCCCCAAAAATGGTATAAAATTCATTTCAGTACAGTGTTGCATGACGGAATAAATGTCAGTCAAAGTACAGCAGCGCTGAAAACTGAAAAATAGCCTGGCCGGGAAGGGGTCACCTGGGGCCACATGGTCTTCAAGTGGTTAAGACAGTGGTTCTCAAACATACTTGTCATTTTCACTGCAAACAATCGAATTTTTACACCCCCCCCCATGTTAGCACAACATGGCCATAAACCTATCTACTGAAGACTGCTTTGCATGGCAGGCCCCCTATGGAGTAAGACCTGCTAAAAAGTGTAAGCAAATCTTTTTTTATTCAGTGACATAATAAGCAACTTTTTGCTCAATTATAAGTGAAAGGTAATGTCCTTTTTAGTACAGATATGTACTGTAGAATTACTGTACTGACACAGGCATAATTAGTAGACAGTACTGTACTAAAACTACCAAAAAGATGTTGGAAGGCACAATCGGTACCATAATAAGGCAACCAAAAACCTGTTCGTAGGCACAGTCGGTACCATACTGGCCAAAAAAAGTTATATGCACATGCATGCAGTGATCAATGTACCATTGGATTGTTGCTGCACTGGTGATTTATTTATGCATTATTATGGTTTAATCTGTGCTGCAATAATTCATGTGGCACCTGTGCAGCATAGTTGCAGCGTAAAGCATTCTGCAACAATTAGTGTGCTAAAGTCTCCTTTTTATGTGTTTTTTTTTAATGCTGCCGGTGGGTATTTTATGTGATACTGATTTCTACTTTGGGAATAATTCTATCCATTTTCTTAGTGATTTGACAGCGGATGGAATGCAAGCAACCAGCTCCAATGGATCACAGTACAGCAGCTCTAGGGTGGAAACACCTGTATCTTATGTTGGGGAGGAAGATGATGACGATGAGGATGACTTTAATGAAAATGATGATGATGACTAATGTAGTAGAAGTATATTCAGTTAAAAATAATGGCTACTACCAAGCAATTTTTTTGTTTTTTGTTGCTGTGGATGTTTGAATATAGTATCTTATTCACTGGGTCCCTTATTTGTTTTTCCACTCACATTTTTTATTTGCCCCATGTTTTTCAACGCGTAATGATGTATGATCCATGTATTACAAATAAAATGCTATGCATACATGCAAATTGAAATGGGTTTAGTAAATTGGCTTTCATTTGAAGAACATAATGTGGGATTAAGTATGGTTTTAAGAAATCATGCAATGTCCAAAGAACTTTTTTTCCTCCTGAAATGAGCTAAAGTTCAGAAACTGAACTGTTGCAGTTTTTATGATTTTTGTTGTATATTTTTGGGAAACGAAATACATTTTCTAGCATTTTTTTTCCTGCGATGCCGATGCAGCTCTGTGAAATGTCTTGAAAGTTGCTATATACAGTATATAAATATTGCTTATAGTATAATTTGCCTGAATTCTTCCAGGTAAACTTTGATTTTTTTTTTTTTATATAGTTTACATAATTATCATTTAAATGTGTTCTGAAGCAAATGTTTTGTATTTGTTTCCTAAATGCCTTGTAATCTATTATAATGTTGAAATTATAGAGTTTTAACAGTTTTTTGGGGTTTTTTTTTTTCTGGATTTGTGAATCGTTTTTAGCAGTCCTATTTTCTATGATATTTTTACGGCAAGCTGTAGTTTAAGATGAACTTATTCACAGGATAATAAACTGCACAAATGCTGTCAGCTGCCTACTGAAATACAATATTCTTTTTATTGGAAAGTGCATACACTTATGTAATTTTATTAACTATAAAGAGACCTATAAATGATTTGTTTAACTTGGCACTGTTAGTTTTATTAATAAAAAAACATGCATGGGCATTAAAAAGGTGTTCTCTAATGCAGTTCTCTTTCATTTTCCCCGAAGTCTACAATTTCATTTGCACCAATTAAATACAGCTAACAGTAAACCTTTACTATGATCAGCTCTTCTTTCGATATCAGCTAGCCAATCTACATTTCTAATCCAAGGCTTGGATGGTCCTGTATACGTGTGCACTTTAGAGAGTGGCACACTTGGGGGTGCTAGAGATATTGTATAGGCAAACCAAAAATGTTTAAAACTGAAATTCGGGATAAGCAAATATTGTCTAAATACAGGATGCATGTGTATTCTTGAATCTGTTCTGTGCAGGAATTCAGTGAAACTTTGCCTCTGTGCAGGAGCTTCCTGTAATAAAGACCCATCACTGCTTCTCTCTCTCTGTCCTCTCCCTCTAAGCTGTCGTTAGGAGCATCTTCTTAAATTGACAGGACTAATCTGTGTACCACATAGTCAGTCTGTGGGAGCCAGAATTATTGTTGGTAGGGGATCAAATTACTTATTTTCCTCACTGTATAACATTTCTAAGCAGTATGTGGATGGGCAGAGGAAAAAAAACCAAAACGGGACAGGGCAGTAAAGTGTTTTGTTTTTACCCTTCGCTAGTGCCTGGTTGAACTTATCAGTAACCCTCAAAGCATATCAAATAATATGTCAAACAGTGTCTCTTTACCATCTAGACCACATCAATTTATAATGTATCAAATTGGTCTCTCAGCCTTCTCAAATCTCATATTTGTATACTTCATCTTTCCTTTCCATCACTGTGGGGGATGTACCGATGCCCATTTCTGGACCAGCAACTTGCGGGCCACAAAAAAAATATCCAGTGATAGCCAGAGATATAGGTAGTGTCTGCTAGAAACAATAACAAAGTGCATATAGTGCTATTTTGTCCTGATATATTCCTCCTTTAAAAATCCACTACTGCTGATGATTGCCTAATAAGTGCCGATGGCGGTTATATAGCTAGTGCAAATAGAAGTGGTGACAATGGGCACCCGTGCCTGGTTCCACGACTTGATGGAAATGTACTAGGTTGAGAACCATTGATCCTCACGGTGGTCCTTGAACTTGCATTTAAAAAAAAAAAAGGTTTACCTATTTTAAAAGATTCCCCAAACCTGAACTTCTCCAATGCTTCCCACAGCACCATTTGACACTGCCAAAGGCTGTGATGGCATGTAATGCCAATAAAGCTCGGTTTGCCTGCAAATCTATAGGAACCTGTATATTTAGGAAAGTTTGTCTTAATCTGCCCATACACCTTGCGATCATCGTACAAACCTTTTCGTCCGATTTTCGTACGGCGGCCCCATCCTGCCCCGATTTATTGCAAGGTTGGATCAGCGGTAATTAAAAGAAAGTACCTGGACGAATTGCGGTAATCAACTGCGCATATTTTCATGTGCATGTGCAGAGTAAATCGTACAAATTTTGACGTGCGGAAACGCCACCAACCTTGCGAAATTAGTACGATCGACCTGAAGTTTTCTAACCTGCTGGTTAATCAAAAGTCGATCGATGGCAGTGTACAACCGCAAATACTGTGCAAATCAACCTTACGAATATCGGACGAAAACGTGATCGCATACGAAAATCGGACAATATTCATAAGGTTTATGGGCACCTTTTTTAGGTTGAGGTAGAAAAATTAGGCATAAATCCAGTCTGATCGGGATGTTTTAAAGCAATCACCTTGTTTAATCTATTTGCGAATATCTTTTCTAAGAACATCTGTACAAAGTAGGGAAATTGAGCAATACGGTTCAGAAAGTAATGGATCCTTACCCCTTTTTGGGATTACTATTATGGAGGCATCATACATAGAGGATGGAAGAGAGCCCGTATCAAATGCTACTTTAAAAGTATCTAATAATGTTGTAAGGAAGCTATTACCAAATTGTTTTGGTAGAGCTCTACGGGTAAGCCATCTAACCCTGGTAACTTACCACTCTGGAGCGCTAGCACAGCTGACTCCAGTTTCTCCATTCTCAATGGAGCGTCCAAAAAAGTCTTATCAGTTTTGGGCAGTAGGGGGTAAAGTGATGGAGTCCAGGAAACCTTGCAGCTCCCAATGGCTATGCTGTACTTTGGAGCTATATAAAGCATGAAAAAGTTGTAGAAAATGCCTAGAATCTTTTAATTTCGTTAAATAATCCACAAATGTATCCTTTCAAAGTATCTCAAAGTATATTTTGGCAAATGACTCATATTTATTCTGACAAAATAAAACTATTAGGGGTGTGTACTGATTCTGGTGAGGTCAATATTGTAAAGGTGGCCATACACTTTACAACCCTCGCAAGACTTGTCTTGCGAGGGTTGTAAAGTAATTTTTTTAAAAACGTACAATCTGCCTATCTTGGACAGGCAGATCGTACTTGCGATCATCGCAAGTGGGGCGGGCTTCCAATGACCGCAATGCTGAACGGGCAGTGTGTGCTTGCGGCAGTTATCTCACGATCATGATTCAAACCAGCCGAAAATCGTACGATTCTCGGCTGGTTTTCGAACATGCTCGAAATACAAAAGTCGTGCAACCGTACAGTAGAAATGGTCGCACGCCTTCCATACAGTGTACGATTGTAGGATTTTCTGCGATTATCGTACGATAATCGTGCAGTGTATGGGCACCTTAAGCCAAAAAGGATAAAGTCGCCACCTGCTAGTGTTCCTGATCTTACCCAGCCCAAGATTTACTAGTAAAAGGGAATGATCCAAAATATTCCTTGGACGGATCTCTACATATGTAGCATATGGAAGCATGTCTCATGTACCTAAGGCTAGGTCTATTTGTGAAAAAGAATTAGAAAAACATGTAAACTGTTTTAAAGTTAGGTGAAAGTTCCTCCATAAATCATGAAAGCCCATTTCCACACAAAATCTTCCAAACAGGGTTTCAGGATTGAGTGCAGTAACTTGTGGAGGTGGAAACTTAAAATGATACAGTTTTAATGGTTGGGGATTATAACTAGAAGCAGATCATTGAAAAACTTGGCTGGATATTTAAGTACAGATGGAGGGGGGCATGGGGGGGTCCCCCCCCCCCCAAAAAAAAAGTATTTATGAACTTAAATGGCATCTTAGTCTTTTGTAGGGTTCAATATTGAGTTGGCCCTCCATTTTCAGCTATAACAGCTTCAACTCTTCTGGGAAGACTTTCCACAAGGTTTAGGAGTGTGTCTATGGGAATGTTTGACCATTCTTCCAGAAGCGCATTTGTGAGGTCAGGTTCTGATGTTGGACGAGAAGGCCTGGCTCGCAGTCTCCACTCTAATTCATCCCAAAAGTCTTCTATCGGGTTGAGGTCAGGACTCTGTGCAGGCCAGACAAGTTCCTCCACCCCAAACTCGCTCAGTTGGGAGCATGAAATTGTCCAAAATGTCTTGGTATCCTTATGTCTTAAGAGTTCCCTTCACTGGAACTAAGGGGCCAAGCCCAACCCCTGAAAAAAAAAACCCCATACCATAATCCCCCCTCCACTAAACTTTACACTTAGCACAACGCAGTCAGGCAAGTACCGTTCTCCTGACCAAACCCTGACATGCCCACCGGATTGCCAGACAGAGAAGCGTGATTCCTCACTCCAGAGAACACATCTCCACTTCTCCGACGCTCTGCATTGCACTTGGTGATGTAAGGCTTGGATGCAGCTGTTCGGCCATGGAAACCTATTCCATGAAGCTCTCTACGGACTTGTGCCAATCTGAAGGCCACACCAAGTTTGGAGGTCTGTAGCTTTTGACTCTGCAGACAGTTGGTGACTCTGTGCACTTCAGCATGCGCTGACCATGCTCTGTCATTTTACGTGGCCTACCACTTCATGGCTGAGGTGCTGTTCCCAGTGGCTTCCACTTTGTTATAATACCACTAACTGATGACCGTGGAATATTTAGTAGCAAGGAAATTCCACGGAACACCTGAATCCAATGATTTGGATGGGTGTCCCAATACTTTTGGCTATATAGTGTATATACACATTAGCCAATACACATCCTAACTGAAAGCACACATTATAGGAATATATACCTACCCTCCTTCTCAACCTCTGCCTGGAGACAAAAGGCAGGGCCTCTACGTACCAATATAGAGATCCTTCTAGCATTATAAAGACTACACTGCGTTGTAACATATTTGTACAAATTATCTTTCAAGAGTTCTAAGGAGTTAACGGTAGCATGCGTCTCCTGTGAATATAAGGTGGATGGTCCATACGAATCTATCACATCAAAAACTGCTGTCTTTTCAGAGTTACCCCCCAAACCACCTT